TTGAGGTGTCGGCATGTATTTAAAAACAGTACGTTTACAAAAAATAGCAATAACTTCGAAACCCTACGACAGATTTCTCTAAATTCAGCAAATAAGCCTCAGAGCTCTCTTGTTTGATATGTGCAAGTTTGAAGACAATCGTGACCGTACGTAGAAATCACTACAAACAATGCTGGTCAAATTTAACCTTAAATTGCAACGCATTTTAAGGTTAAATTGACAAATGCAACGCATTTTAAGGTGAAAGTTGACGCCCAAATAGAGGAAGAGGGCCGACGGACTATCTCCTGTCTGCAAGGGTATTCTTGCCCAAAGTCTTACTGCAAAAAATCTGAGTAATCAGAAACCTACAGCGAATACAGTTTGCAATACAAGAAGAACAACTTTGAGCGGTTACCTTTGAGGTTAAACCCTGGGGGGTTCTCCTGGAAATCCTTGGTGGAATCCTTGGTGCGGGTGTATCGCCCGGTTCTCCAAATCCTGACCCTGTTTCAGTCCATGTAAGTATAGTGTCTTTTTCACACCCGTTTTCAGACCTGGCCTTTAAAATCCCTGAAATCCCATGCCCGTTTTCAGACCTGGCATCTAAGGAATTATGTCATCATTGCTTAGATTAGAACAGCAACAAAAGAGAGTTCTTAAATTTCATTTCCCATTCGCTTATTTCTCTTTCTTACTTATTTGGAATTGAAACGATAACTACGTTCATACACTCCCGTATTCCCTCGAAAACCCGATTCCAGACCAAAATGGGCAAAGTCTACACCGTTTTCAGACCAAAACGGCGCACAAAATCCTACCCTTTGGGGCGGCACATTCCTAAAAATGTCGCTTTGGAGTGAAACGGTTTTCTTATGATTAACTGCCTCAAGTGCTTTCCTTTCAAGGTGTCAAGCTTTATCAATATTATATCGCCAATGACAAACCGTCAGCTAGTCACCCAGTGTTTAATTTTTTAAGTACATACATGTTGGTGATGTAAACAACTTTCGCTTCCGCCTCCACTTCCGCTTAATAAGGTGAAAAGTTTTATGTCATGCTCTGGTTAACTTGTGGTTTTACCGCGATAATCCCTATAGTGGCCCGCGAAAACAGCCGTTTCTCCTCGTTCTTGGGCTAGATAATCCGTAGCACTGACCGTTTTCACTTTAGACACCAGGCTGACCAGGATTATATATCTGTCCTTCTTAATTTGAGGTCGATTTACCATCTAAACCCGTGCTGTTAATAGCCGGATAAACTGAAGGATATGAAATCTAAAGGATTTTTTGTCCAAAGAAAATCCCGTTCCGTGTTTTTAATAGGCAGACGTCTTTTCCGAATTTGCTTCCATTTGTAAGTTTATTAAGTCAACGGGTAATCCGAGTCCAGTTAAGTTAAAAACGTATCAGTGTACATGTATTGTGTAAAATACAGGTTTAAAACCCAAAAGATATATCCTTTTCAAAATCTCAGCCTCACATTTATTCTTAAATCGTTCTTATTTTTGGCTGGGACCAGGCTAAGCATCGGGGAAAAAGGAGAAAAAAAAAAACGGCGTAGACATGGCAAAAAAATAAATAAATAAATAAAAAAAAATAGCAGAGGGGTAGTCTGGAGAGGGGAAAGGTTAGTCTTGAAAAAATTGTTTCTATGCATAGGTCCCACGGGGCAGGAACGCGTGTTGAACCTAAAGAACATCTGCGGTGGAGGAGGGAAAGGGTAGTTGCCGCCCGTTACCCTCCCCGGGCCACCGCTCGGCTGGCTTCGCTCTCCGATATTTTTCCTATTTGACCAAGTTTTTCCCCCACTGCGGAGCCTGGTCCCAGGCTTTCTTATTTTTAGGGCTTACAAACAATAGAGAGCTTTAGATTCTGAGACGGTGACGACTACAAGTACGAGATTTTCTCAGAGTATTGCTGACGCGTAAACCAGCGTCATTTTGGCGGTAAAACTAGCTAGCCTTCGTCATTCTACTACGAGGTTTAGCGAGAATGTCGTAGTGGCGGGAACAAGTTATCAAATGTAAGAAGTTTTAACATTTTGCTATCGGGAGAGGGCTTAACCTCCTTCAGTATAAATAACCGTGCTAACTTTATTGGTGGAAAAAAAAGACAGAGAGAAAGGAAGCTTTCCAAGGTGTCTTTTCTTTAAACACGCGCAAAAACTTTAAGTTAAATCTCGTACTTGTTCTCGTTCTCGTCCTCCAATATAAAGGTCTCTAATTAAATTCCAGCACATCCTTTGGGCAAGGGGCTCTCAGATTTTGCCCATTTTCTAGACTACGAGCAACTTTTCTTTCTTAGTCCGTTGAGCGAAACGCGCGAGACACGAAAATGACCACGCGCTTGCGCTCCCCTCACTAAATCTCTAGGCCCCGTTTCCTCGAAAGATGGTTAAGATTAATCCAAGTTTAAGCGAAATTTTCAGCACGGTTTTCTTGTCTAAGAACATTTGACTCAAGTTTACAAAACTGACTGTTGGACGTTTACACTGGCTTACATAGGAGACCATAGACCGAAGCGTGCAACTTTCATACTAGGCCTATGTCACGGCGTTTTCACAGACTGGAGTATTTTTAGATGCATTTTACAGCACGTTTTATCGCGAAAATGAAAGCTCCGTTCCTTTCATAAGCGCATTTTACTGTAAATATAAAGAGCGACAAAGGAAATCAACCGCCATTAAAAGGTCAAAAATGCCATTTCTAGCGGTTTTAGTTTAATGACTGGTTTTTGGGACATGAAAGATATTCTTAATTCGCGCAAAGATCGTTCTTAAAATAAACTGGTCAGTGAAAACGCCGTGACACGACAACATGAGAATTGCCTTCTCCGGGTTATGGCCTCCTGGTTACAGAGGTAAATACAAAAAGTGGAAACAAATTTTAATCGGCCTTTCAGAAGCTGAGGCCCTGAAGAAGAAAGAGAGACTGCTCGCAGTCTACATATTTTCTCAAATATTCACTCTTGCACATTTTCTCACATTTTTGCCCTGGGCAACTACTTGCTTGTTATCCTGAGCTGGAATCCACAGCGTGGATTTTGTCAGAGGATGACTTGCTAAATTTATACTCAACTTCATAATTTTGTATTGATTGTAGGTTGATTATTTTTTATGCTCTGAGATATCTTTATTCTGTGTATATATTGTACTTCTGATAATGACATTACCCATATTACAACTCAAACATCATTTTCAACGCTTGGAATGTTCCATTACAATACAACATATGTAAGTGAGAAAACAATATAAAATAGAAAACAATTTTTCATGATTTTTGTTAACATTTTTTGCGTTTAAAAGAACACATCCTATCTAGTTCGCGTCCGGCTTTAATTGTTTCAAGAGTTAGTGCTGTGTCGTTAGAGACACGGGACAGGCACATTCGTGTATTATTGTGTGTGTAGATATAGGCCATATAGGCCATATTACTGACTGAGCCACTTGATATCTCCTGCTCCTCGAACAGATACGCATTGTCGACCTTGGTCGTTTGATCACATTGTGGCTGTTTCTGCAAATTTAAAGGATAGTTTATATGTCACTAAAGAGACTTCGATTATCCTCTTCCAGTTAGGGGCCGTCAACATATTCACTTTTTCTCCGCTTAACGTCAACTGGACGTTTAGGTCAGATCCCCGCCATTCCCAACACCCCCTCCTCGTTAATGTCCACTTTAAATTTTCAGTAGACCTGCACCGTTTTAAACCTCTTATTTCACTGGTCCCCTTTAATCTGCACCTCCATTGTTTTCAGGGATAGGGACGTTGTTATGTGACAATCCCTATTGTTTTCCCAGCTAATCAAAAACAATCTTTCGAAATTTTGCTGCCCAAAAGTCACTGCATCCCAGAAGGAATACCGACATCCATTTGAAGATGCAAGAGATGCCAATGGTATCAACACTCGATTTACTGCTTTTAAAACGAGGTAGAAACTTCATACTTTAGGATAGAGTTTTAAAGATCACAAAGTAAAACGTACAATTTGCTAGTAGTTAAGATCGGAGAGTTTTAAAGATCACAATTGACATTCACTTCTTTAATTGGTCCTTCTTAAATAATGTCACGAGCGCCGTTCGACACATGACGTAAAATTTATGAAAATGCATCTGTTTCCTTTTGTCCTAAAATGCCCCACACTGACGTCCACTACCCTACTCCCTAATATGTCGACGGCCCCTTAGACTACTTTTGTGTGGTTGTTGTCACCCAAGCTCGAAATCTGAGCATCGGCGAGCATCGGCATTGTTGCGTAACATTCAAAATATAAGGATTTGTATGGGAAAAAAACCTATCGTTTCTGTAAGCTACGAAAATGAAAGGATTTCAAAAACAAAAATAGCTTAACTTACTTAAAATGTGTGTTACGTCTCTCCTGTGTGGTCCACGGGCCGATTTATGGCCGTTTTATGGGTTTTTATGGCCCGTGGACCTCACAGGAGAGACGTAACACACATTTTAAGTATGGTAAGCTGTTTTTTATTGACATCCTTTCATTTTCATAGGTTACAGGAACGATAGGTTTTTTTCCCATACAAATCCTTATATTTTGAATGTTACGCAACAATGCCGATGATCGCCGATGCTCATATTTCGAGCCTTAGGCACGCAACGCTCCTCGCTCCAACCGAGGTGCGTTGCGTGGCGACATGGGCCCGACATGCTTATAACGGCTGTGCAGCAGACCCGGGGGGAGAGTACTATACCAGAGCTAGCTGAGCTGAAATTTGCTACCCTATACTAGAGTAAACTCCCCGAATCCCCCCTATCCTAGAGTAGCTGTTTCCCTTGTCTAGGTAAAATCTTCAACTAACTGATCAGTTTCCTGAAAAATGATACCCTATTCTAGACCCAAACGCTCTGATTTATATACCCTATCCTACAGTAAACTGCTTGAAAACCATACCCTTCACAGCGACACAAACCTATATAGCCCATATATGGCAGTACCCCTCCCCCCCCCCCCCCCCCCGCGGGGCAGCAGACTAGTTGTTGTTGTTGTTTTTTTTTTTTAGACTAGTTGTTTGTTGGTTTGGAGCATTGTTTCTGTTGGTAGTAAGCTGACTTGCGTTTGGTTCTATGGTCTAAGAATCTCTAGGTTGAAATAAAAAGACTTAAAGTTGACATAATGAACGCTGCTAATAAGTCCGTCCAAGTTGAGAATTATTATACAATGTATTTCTGTGACGTACAGTTGATCGTTATACACTCTATAATTCTAGCATTTTATAGAATGGTTTCATATATAGCTTATGGAAAGTGCTTTCCAATGCTTTTCAACCTTTTAAACTCATTTAATCATTCGCTAAAGCAAAAGAAAATGATTTCTGGATAGTACGAGGACGATCTCTGGCAGAATACTTTTAAGTCTATGGACCCACAATAGAAATAAATAAATAAAAGTGAAAAATTCCTTTGAATTCTCGCCCACCCTTTGATTACACACTGCTGCGTAAACGTTAGTCCACTTAATGTTAACTGTTACAGATCTGAGTCCACTTTCGAATAAAATTCCGGCCGTATGCTGAGTTTAAGCTCCCATGCATGAATGGACTGTGCACTCACCATGAACTGTAGAGTAGGAGGATTAGTTCCAATGACTTTGAGGGCGTAACTAACACTATTACTAGTAAATTGAATACACTTCCGAGTCGTTCCTCCAGTAGCAGGAGCGTTTATAATATTGAAACCTGGAAAAATAGAAATCAAAGAATAGAAATTATTCATTTTTCAAGTTAGTAATAGCTTTAAAAAAAAAAAAAAAAAAAAAATATATATATATATATATATATATATATATATATATATATATATATAGGACCTAAAGGTAATTATCACAGTTATTGCGTTCGACTTATGTCAACACAAATCCTAATCTTGGTGATATTATGGTACTTGGTCGGGCTAATTGGGTACTCAGAAGTGAACTTTTCAGCAACTTTTTTTGTCCTTCGTCTAGCTCTTCGGTCCCATTTTGAATTACGTCATATTCGCCTATGCATCACACTTTTTATTATGCCAAAAGCTTCGATCACGGTCAACTAAGATGCACACGCAAACACGGAGTTATTTCAGTTTGGTGAGGGAATGATATTTGACCGACCGGTCGCCTAACAATGTATGTCTCCAACAAGGTGAACTGACCTACAAAAACTGAATGGAGATGAAAAAAGCGAAAAATGGCAAACATTTTCTTAGTACAATAAGCAATGTCCGGCTCACTGACATCTATAAACTCGCAACTAAGTCTATTTTTGTGCCACTATGATCAAGTTGTATCATGCAAGAAGCTAGGATACCTTCGAAGTTTATACCATTCTTTTGAACGTTTGTAGATAAGGTTATCTAAAGTATCTACAAATTAGATCTGTTTACTTTCTACTTGTCATTCTTATTCTTCTCTTCTTATTCTCTCGCCCTGCTGCCCGTTTGGGGATGATGTGAAGAGATGTATAACATTTCAGACTCTCTTTAGAAAGCCGAAAAACGAATTTCCGCCGCTTTTATAAAAATGTGGGTGTCAGAAACATTGGTCATTTAACAGCAGTACGTACAAATATCACAAAAAAAATCGTATATATTGCACTGTATTTAGTGATCACACCTTTTTTTCGATTCAGTGCTCACAAATTTTGAAGTAACTTAAAAACTGAGAAAAAAATCACGGGGTATAAAAAGCAACCTACTTGTTTTTGAGGGATCACAGCTTCGTCCGGAGATTCGTGCAGAACACGACGTTCCATTACAGTTTTTTATCTCCAAATAACCACCAGTCACGCTGGAGCACTGAAAACCTTGAAAGACCAGACCTAGGGTGTTTACTTCGAAAGCAAACAGACATGCAAGAATAACCTGCAGAAAAAAAGATCATGTTAATATTATTGTTGTAAGATTAATTATGATAAACAAATTCTACTGCGTGTTCCCTTAACTACTAAAATTTCATCCTTTTTTAAATGTGAAACTCAGTTTTGCTAAACTGATTTAGTTGCAAAGGAAAAGTCTCTAAAGGTTCATAATCAAAAGAAACAAGTAGCATTAAAATAATCTACTCACTGCGAAAAGAGTTTTTACGTCCGCCATAACTATCTCGCTTAAGTTAGCTGTTTTAAACCCAACCAATCTATCACTTTAACTCTTTGAAACTTATCGCCCTTTATTTATACTGTTACCGTACTTTTTCTTAGTCGTGAGAAATACTTAAAGAATTTATGGGACAAGAAGACCGATTTCCGCTCTTTTTCGACCCTCTGAAAACTCGTCTTTGTTGTTCCCATAACCTCAAAATTTCCAATCTATACGCTTCAAAGATTTCCTTTTTCGTACACAAAAAGTCCACATAAAGAAGTACACTGGGTATAGACGCCTTTTTGGCTTGAAAACACAGTGACCTTAGTTTATAAAAATCGCAAAACAACTGTATCGTAGACGATTTGCGGAATAGTATATCATAAACTTTGGAGTCTTTAAGCAACTTAAAGCTACAGACAGTACGCCTAACTTCATTACTTTTTATCCGGAACTCGATGGAGACAACAGCCCCCGTAAATTCAGCACTTTGCAACTGTTAAATGACAAATTAAAACACAATGGTGATTAAAGAAAACATTGCGAAACTCGCATAGATAAAAGCGGTTATTAGTCGGGTGAGGTCCTTCCTTTACAGAGAGCCAGCTAGAAGATATATGATAAACCAATACCGACGTTTGCAAGGACCATTGGAATTTCCACAATTAATATGCCTTACGTCGCTTCAGGCTATCTGTCGCTTCAGTCTATAACGAAGAAATTAAAAGAACGTCTCTTAATTCAGCCGAAGTAGTTTCAGTTAGGTTTGTTGGAAAAAATCGAGAGTTGGGATCAGATAAAATTATAATGCAGTGTTAGTATGTGGTTGGTAGACCGTTACTAAGTGTCTCTTTAAAGAGGCGTCCGCCCTCATAGGAAGACTGAGTGAAGGGTGGACTGAATTAAATCAAATTTTGCCAGTCTGTGATAGGTAGTGATGCAATGACCTAAGCACGATAAGATAACTAGTTACAATAGTTTCAGGTAAAAATCGATTATACTTGATGCAGGAAGGAAATACAATAAATAAATCGACAAATTTCACCGGCCGGGTTAAATAAGGATACTACTGCTGTTAGGCATTTCATGGTTACAACTTATAGGTTAGTTCGGATAATTAAGATGTGTTCCCGAAGCGTTTCATCATCCTACGTTGCAAAGCAAAACCGCAGCTAGTTTGTTAAGAGCGAAAAGTCGGTTAACTTTTATTTTGTACGAATAAACTTAGCCTGAAAAAATGCCAGAAATTGTATCAATTTTTCAGTCGCCATTGTGAAAGAAAATTGTAGTGCCTTTAACTGAAGGAATTAGCATCGTCAAATTATAAGCTCCTTTGCAAACTTTCAGCTCGTATTTTGTTTATTTTTGTTTAGTAGAGTGCTTTTTAACAAACATAGGTTATTTACGGATATTGACATTTATCAACCAAGTATGTATCACACACGAGAATTTTCTAACAGACTACTAAGAGTGGTTATAAAAAAAGCAGTTACGTTAAAACGCGCTTTAATTGAAATGAAAAATAATACCCAATTTGGAATAGACTCATATAGACTCATATATATATAATATGAAAATATCATACTGGGAAATAAATCAGTTGATGTATTAAATTGTATGAACTTAAGTAACTTTAAATTCTCAGTATACGTTAAAATTTCTTGTTTAATCCACTGATTTACAAAGTAATATTTTGAACAGAATTGAAAAAGGTCCAGTGAAAATGGGATCAGGTGTACGTGTGTTACGGTCAATCAATTTCTTTCAAATAACTTAAGCGTCTTAAACGGCGACATACCTGTGGTCAGAAGCGATTAGAGGAAGTTATTACTGACATGTTAACTAATAGATATTGATAATAAGTTAGGCATAGAAAGGAGGCATCAATCCCCAGTTTATATCATCATAACAAGACAATGTCAAATATGCTGCTTAATTTATTGCCGCTGCTGACAGTTTGGCGCATCGAACTTTTTTATATATATATTTTTTTAATCCACTGATTTGCAAAGGAATATTTTGAACAGAATTGAAAAAGGTCCAGGGAAAATGGGATCAGGTGTACGTACCGTCAATCAATTTCTTTCAAATAACTTAAGCCTCTTAAACGGCGACATACCTGCGGTCAGAAACGATTAGAGGAGGTTATTGCTGACATGTTAACTAACAGATATTGATAATAAGTTAGGCATAGAAAGGAGGCATCCCCAGTTTATTATCATTACAAAACAATTTCAAATACGCTGCTTAATTTATTGCCGCCGGCTGACAGTTTGGCTCGTCGAAGGTTTTTATAATTTTTTTTGTTACCGGCTAAAACAAAAAAGTCGCAAACAATGAAGTTGGTGCACGTGTCATTTTGAAGACAGGCCCTTCCATTTTCAAGTGAGTTATCAAAGACTTTCCCAGTGGCCAGAAACCGATTGACCGGAATAAATATGATTTGTTGATAGAAAGACGATTTAGATTCACTTTTACGGCAAACGGTAAACGTCAGATTCAAGTTGACGATTTCTTAAATCAGAAAGTTAACGGATAAAAACTGTCAGGAGAGGGAAACGTCCCCAGCGGCGAAGAGCGAGGGGAAACGGATGTTTTCGCAGGCTAATGCAGCCGAAACCATTCGTGGAATTGCACACATTTTAGGCATCCCACTAATGAACAGTTACGACACGTAAATATATTTTTTAACAACAACCATAATTTGCAGTCTGCCGACTTCGAATGTATTGACGCCATTGAAAATTATTCTTGAATACATATTCGCCCAAAACGAAGCAGATCAGTATTACTTAGCAAAGTTTTACGAAAAAACTTCCTTTCTTTCGCTTGAGCGCATCCTTGAATGTATGTTCGCCGAAGACGAAGCAGATATTACTTAGCAATGCTTTTATGAACAACCTACCTTCCTTCCTTCCGCTTGAGCACGCGCGACATATCATGTCATGCTCTGGGCTAAAAGACCCCGTAAAATCTTATCCGTCTTTTATTAAGTGTGAAAACGATTATCAATTGATTATACTATTTATCTGATCATCAAAATCCGGTGTTAATAGACGGAGAAACAGAGGAGGGAACAATTATGACGGAGTATTTGCCAAATTTATGAGTTCCGTCCCATTTCCACTTAAAGATGTTTAAAATACCGTGACGTATTATCCGTCCGACACGGATCATTTGTTTTTGTATAATCAAATGTTCTAATAAATAAGCCATCCCTACATAACAAAAAACTTTAATCGCTGCCCTCGACTTGACTTACCGTCTTTTATTCTAAAAAAGAGAACACTTAGAAAGAAAACCTAAAGAATAAGGTGGATTATGATTGACTGAATTTCCGCTCGACCGACAGAATTGAAAAATCCACATACTTTATTAAAGAAGCCTCACTCGATTGTTTACGTGCTTGCTTATGACTTGAAGAGCAACTGGACCACTCGTAGCCTGCGAACCGCAGACGCATTTCCGGTTGTCGCTTCTCTCCCGGAGGACCACTCGTAGACCACTCGTACTTTACTCGTACTTTACAAGTCAAGTCGTGTGTTTAATTTGATTCACCGCGGTGTCGTTTGAACCACATGTGATTAATGTGACGACTATCGTTGACGGCAAAAAGTAAAAAGTAAACTACATTCGTTCTACCTTTTGGTAGCTCGACCCAACAACTAATTAACTCCAATAAACATAACTCTTGAAAACGCGAAAAACAAACCAACCAAAACCCTCTCCACGCACGTCTAGTGCGAGGTTTGATAAGTGAGTCTAGTCTAGCACGTCAGTCCCTCAGGGGTCAACTATCTCGACTGTCTCACACGCCACGCTGGTAAGAGGCAAACTTACCAAATTTTCTCTTTTAACTTTGCGAGGCGTTTTTCAATTCTCGAAACCCGACATCTAAACTTATTCTTGTTGCGATAATGTTCGCCTCCTTCGCCCTCTTCATAAAAAATTGCCACACAGTCAATGATGACCACGCCGTCTTCAACATCAGCTACCTCTTGTGAGAAAACGTGTAAGACCTCGAATTACCGGCACAGGTACACAGATCGAAAAGCCTGGTAAGGTAACTTGAGACGACTCATTATCATCGAATGCAACAACAGTCACATTGTATATTATCGACCATTAAAGTGTATATGACAGAAATTTTTTTATTTGCTTGATAGAATCTATACAGTGTTTTGATAAGGAAAGCAAAAAAAAATTTTCGATAGCGATTTTTCTTCCCCGTGTTTTAACCTGCCAAAAACGTGAAATTTTACTTCCGGTGAGCTACAAAACCGCGCTAGCGAAAACAGAAGACTGGGAATGATTATGACGTCATTTCAGGACATTCTATTTCGCGGCAGGCAAATTTCATGGTCATTTTCTTATTTGTGTGGCAGTGTTTGGAGAATGTTTTTTGAGTTTCCCTGACCTTTTTTGATCAGAAACAGCAGAAATCAATAAAAAGTCGCTCAAGCACGAATTTAATGGGCTGTGAAAAAGAATAATGAGTTTTGAAAGCGGTACGGAACAGTCAAACGTGGAATCGATCGGGTCGCGCACTCACATCTGCGAGACAGAGCTAGGATCAGACGAAGATGAAGAAGACCGTATATAGATGAACCTATTGCAGACGAGGAATGGCTAAACAGAATACAACCGAGAACTAGAAGAAATTTAAAGGAGAAACCAGGAGTTACAAAACCGCTTTGACAGGATTGTCGAACCCGAGACTTGGTAAGTGTTCGCTCTATTTCTCACCTTTTAATTATTAGCCTGAAAAATCTTATCGTACTAAGATCATACCTTGGTGATAAAAGGAAAGGATAAAAGTCGTATTCTTCGACTTAAATACTACGTTCCTTCTTTTTAATTTCAAAGGTGCCCATGTGGCAATTGTGCTCTTGATCGGCTGCAAAATCCATAATCATGGCTGTGTTCTAAGACAAATTGAAGGGAGCCCAGTGCCCTGAACCTGTGAAATCAAGGATGCCTAGCATAATATTATAATCTCTAAGATTTTCTTGTCGCCGTAGAACAGAAGTTGTGTGCTAGGGGTCACCATGTGCTGTTAGAACACAGCCCTATCTGAGGCTGGCTGAGCCTTCTGCCCCTCTCAAGTCACTTATTTCTTTGGGAAAATCTTTTATTTTTTTGGACATCTAGGGATTTTTATTGTTATCAATATTACTGTTATAATCAAGAAAATGATAAATATCGCCATTAAAGCAACATATTACATCTTTTGTTGTAGAAATAGGAACTGGGATAGCCCAGACTTAATGCAATTTTGATTTCTTTTTTTTTTTGGCTTTTGTTTTGTATTGTTTTGTTTTGTTTTTTTTGTTTTTTTGTTTTTAATAATCCAATCTCAAGCAGCATTTGTAAATTGCCTATACGTAGCGAGATTTACAATTATGCATTCAAAAAAACAAATAAAGTTCCCATTATTATTATTATTATTATTATTATTATTATTGTTGTTATTGTTACATATTATTATCATTTTATCAG